ATGTGCTCTGACCACCAGAGGGTGGCGTGGAACAAAGGAAGGCCGTGGCAGCTGGAAGGCCCCAATCAGCCTTGATCACTGGCCAAACCAAGGGACCCTACCCATGCACAAATTTTGTGTACCAGGGCTCTAGAATATTAATAAAACAACTATGATTAAACTGTAACCTATACTAGGTATCTTTTTCTTTATTCTTTTATGGTTTAAAACTCTTTGTAATAATCTGTTTTAAAATTTTCAGTGTCTTGGTCATAAATTCATTGAAACTATAAGATAATTTAAAAAAACCCTTTTTTTCTGAGTTGTTTAGTCACAACAATATTTCTGACACAATAAAACCATAAATTCTTAGCATATCTAAAAAATCCATAAACATTACTTATTTTTCTCTGTGGCACTAAAAGAGCTAATCAAAGAAAAATAATGATAATGCAAAAGAAGCATAAATATACAATGGTGGGCAAAAATAAGTTAAATTACCAGCCATCACCATCTAAAAGATAAATCATAAATAGGAATATGAAATAATGATAATATGATAATAAGACAATAATACAAATGAAATGTTAAAATGATTAATAAATAACAGTTCAAGAATAAACTGTTTCACATACTCACAACTGTAAACCTACTTTTTCTCATCCCTGTATTAAATTAACTTGAGCAGTGTGCAAAATAAGGTGAGTAAATGCATTTTTTGATGTGGTGCTGTATAAATACGACTCAGCCTCTGACATATAAAACAATTCATTTTCTATACCAAAGCTAATCTCTGAATCCTAACAGCCACTGGAATATTATGTTTCATGCTAGGATCACAAGTCTTGGTTAATATATACAACCCTCCAAACCTAAGGACACTGTATCACACACTTAAATATGAATTTATACATAACTAGCTTTTTGGTCATGAGGAGCAATGCATTATGAAATAGGAAACACATCGCCCGATGCTATGACCTGTGAATTGGTAGCTAGAACAGATGAAACTAGAAGAGAAAAAAATCTTTTTTTCAGATTGTGAGTTTTCTGATAGCAAGGGCTACATCTATGTCAACACCCATGACTGATCCCTGATGTGTCGGTCAATTCAGTGTGTGCTGTCACTGCCTTTACAAAAAGTGCAAAAAGTGAACTGCCAATGTATATAGTCTCTCTAGTCACAAATATTTATGCCCCCAGTGAGGGCATAAATCTGTCAAGTTAATCAAATACTTAGTATGATTAATTATTATTTTTCCTATTGTAATTATATATATGGCAAAAAGCTGAAGGCAGTTTTTACATAACCATCAATTTGTATCCAAGAGGTAAGACTAAAAATTTTGTAGATGCTCAAAATATTAATGATATTAAATATCATCTGATAGCAATTTCTTATTCATGTAACACATATGTAATGTATAAATACATCCAAACAAGAAAAGCAGTTTTGTGATCAGTGTAATATAGATTACTGTAAATGGCAGAAGCTTAGAGATTTTGACTCCAAAGCATCCTCTGCTGATAAGACCTGGACAGCATTATGCTAAATAAAATGAGCCAGTCAAAGACAAATACCATATGATTTCACTCATATGTGGAATCTAATGAACAAAATCAATAAGCAAGCAAAACAGAATCAGACTCATACATAGATAGCAGGCTGACAGCTGTTGGGAGTTGGGGCTGGGCGTGGCAGGTGGAGCAATCAAGCAAAAAAGAAAAAACTTGTAAGACAGGGACAACATTGTGGTGATTGCTGTAGGAGTGGGCCTGGAGGGAGGCAGAGGAGGGTGTATAGGGAGGATAAAAGGAGATGCATGGAGACTTGATTTCAGGTGGTGAGCACACAATGCAGTGTACAGATGATGTTTTATGGAATTGTGCATTTGGAGCCTATATAATTTTGTTAACCAGTGTCATCCCAATAAGTTTTGAAAAAATAGTATCAACACACAGTAGACATTCAATACATGCTTGTTGTCTGACTAACAGTTTAGGTGCTCAGCCTGTGTATTATGGAAGAGCATTACATGTATTAAAGATAACATGAAATAAAGCCATATTACATATGTCCACATTAAATGACCAATAAAGTCTTGACCAGGTGGGTTTTATGATAGTGGTTTAGGTTCATAATGATGACAATATCTATTAATAAAAATAAATTCTTATATGTGGAAGTAATACTGAAAAATATAGACTGATAATATTCTGCTGTAACTTTCTATTATTTATTTATTTATTCATTTATTTTTCTTTATTGATTAAGGTATTACATATGTGTCCTTATCCTCCCATGGCACCCCATCTCCCTACTCCTGCTCTCACTGCCCTATTGTCTGTGTCCATTGGCCCTGCTTATATGCATGCATACAAGTCCTTTGGTAGTTCTCTCCCCCTTACCCCCCTCCCCTGCCTTCCCTCTGAAGTTTGATGGTCTGATCGATACTTCTGCTGCTGTAACTTCTTAAGGGCAATCTTAAATAAAATGCTACATTTTAACAAATACAATATTCACAATTTTGTTTTTAAGGATTAATATAAACATTTCCATTTATATAGCTCCTGTTGTAAGGAACTTTAAACACTCCAAATATTACTACATCTAACTTTTCTTGCTAATTGATCGATCAAAGCTATAATCAATTGTTAACCACCTTTTGGTTTAAAATAACATTAGAGAATAAAGTAGCTAACAGATAATTACTATAATTTAACATTTTTCTTCAAAATTCTTTACACCATAGCAGTACATTATATAAAATATCTTATCACTACCAGATGGTAGCTTTAAGGAGTTAAATACTTTTTTGAAATATAATTTTAATCATTTCTGAGCTTCATTTTGAAGATGTTAATTGATTGGATTTAAAGCAGTGCTCTGTTTAAAAAACATTTAATAATAAATCTAATTTTTGTCAATATAAATAGACAATACTAAACAGACTTGCTGCTTAATTCAACTTTTCTAATGAATGTTACACTACCTGTTATACAGAGACATTGGAAATATGTGAAAATACATTTAGATTAAAAAATGTTATAATATTCTATACTTGAGAATAATAAAGCTATCACTGGCAGATCAAATGTCACACACACATTAATTTGTTACTATTTGGAGTATGATGTTTCTTATAAGGTAGAATTGGTAGCTAATTATTTGGCCAGTTGGAAATCAAGCAATGTTGAATTTTTTTCTTTAAACCAGTATTATATCTTAGTTCAGAACTTAAAACAGAGGCTGGCCGAAACGGGTTTATCTCAATGGATAGAGCATCAGCCTGCTGACTGAAAGGTCCTGGTTTTGATTACAGTCAGGGGCATGTACCTTGGTTGCAGGCACATCCCCGGTGGGGAGTGTGCAAGAGGCAGCTGATCGATGATTCTCTCTCATCGATGTTTCTAACTCTCTATCCCTCTCACTTCCTCTCTGTAAAGAAATCAATAAAATATATTTAAAAAAATAAAACAAAGGCTGAAATGTATAATACACACACTATCTTTTATCTACACTAACAGACATTACTTCACAATACACTTTGTTTCTTCATCTATTGCTCTTCAACGGTAGCTACAGGCAAGAATAAAATGCCACAAAATATTTGGTCATCTAGTCTGTCTGTCTATTTATCTATCATCTATCTATTTTTTTTCTGTACTATGATAGCGTCTTTGCTCCTATCAATTGAAAGCCATTTCCTATTTTTGCAGTATTCCTGTCAAAACACATAAGAGTTGGGGGTGAGTGGGACTTGAAGAGTAAATGTACAATTCAGTTTCATCCCCAGCTATCTCACAGGTTGGAATGGACCAGAGAAGGCAGCCTCCAGCCATGCAGTTGCAATAAGCCATCTTGCACATTTCTCATCTATTCTTACAATATTTCAGTGGTAGATGCCAACACTCTTAGGAAATTTTTATCTCTGTTAGTCATCAATATTCCCATAAGTCATGTTTTGGTTTATTTGGAGTACTCTTTAAGCTTGGACCAATGTATGAATTATAATTAGAATAACCTTGGTTTAGATACTTGTGATTACTAATGCTTTATAGAAACCATTCTCTATTTTACTATAAACATGTGAACTTGAACTACTGAAAGCTTGGTAATTAAAAACAGTAATTATATCTAGACATCCTCTTCTCTGGTTCTCAGTCACTTACCACCATTTATTGAAAACCTATTATGTGTGCTACTATGCCAGGAATCAGAGGCTTCAAATGGAAAGGGGAAGACTCATGACACACTTCAGTGCTTCCTCAAAACAACAGTTCCAAGGAACAATAACTGATTTCCCATGAACAAAGGTTCCATGTAAAAACATCTTTGAGAAACTGTAGATTAAACAACTGTTAACAGATTTATTTGTGTAAGACTTTTATAGCTTCATAGCAAATAAGAGTATATCTGGTATTTTCTAAAATTATTTTACTCTGGATTCCCATTTTTCCCCCCTACAGAAAATCGTAAAGAGCACTATTGAATAAAAACACTTAGGAATCATCCCAAGCAAAGAAACCTCCTTATTAATTTTTTGTCTTCTCAATGACTATTCTGAAGTGGGTTCTCAATCATGTTAAATGAATACAAGGAGATAGTTACTATACTACATGGCAGAAAGTAGTAAATGTCCTCACTGAGGTACAAATAAAACTTTATGGACATTTAGAGGAGGGAGAGAATATATTCACCTGGGAGAAACTGCATGAGGTTTAATGAATCAATTGACACTATAGGACATTTCTGAAGGACAGGGGCATTTGGAGATAAAGGAAGGGCAGCTAAGCAGAATGCCAATGTGAAGGGACTTGGAGCATCTCCAGGCTAAAAGTTACTATACCTGCTCTTTTTTACACATTGAGTAAAGCTACATTTCAATAGAAATTTTTGCCACTAACTTTCATATTTTAAAATCCTTACAAACTCAGAAAAAACTATTAGGAAAATTAAAAAGGGAAATCATACTTAAATGAATTTATAGTTTGATAGGACAGTTTTAGACAATACTTACTGCTATTAGGGTTGTCTCCAATGATATGGTGTCGCCCACTCCAGTACCACAGAAGCAGGGTCGCATCTCGAGACCCTGACACAATATAGCAGTCCCCACCTATGTAGGACTCAGACCTGGCCAAGCAGGTGACTACATCCCAATGGCCAAATACAATCTGAGTTAATTTCCCTGAAACACAGAAACAGCAGATTTAATTCATTTGCTATTTTTCTATAAATGGCAAGAGCTTTATTTTACTACTAGAGGCCTGGTGCATAAAATTTGTGCACAGGGAAGAGGAGGGGTGTCCCTCAGCCCAGTCTTCACCCTCTCCAATCTGGGATCTCTCAAGGGATGTCTGACTGCCCGTTAGGCCTCACAATCCAGGACTGCTGGCTCCCAAATGCTCGCCTGCCTCCCTGTCTGATTGCCCCTAACCGCTTCTACCGACCAGCCTGATCACGCTTAACTGCTCCCTTGCCAGACCAATTGCCCCTAACTGCCCTCCCCTGCAAGCCTGGTCACCCCTAACTGACCTTCCTTGCTGGCCTGGTTGCTCCCAACTGACCTCCCCTACAGGCCTGGTCACCCCTAACTGTCTTACCCTGTAAGCCTGATCACCCCCAACTGCTCTTCCCTGCTGAACTGGTCACACCTAACTGTCCTCCCTTGCCAGTCTGGTCACTTCTAACTGTCCTCCCCTGCTGACCTGGTTGCCCCAACTGCTCTCCCTTGCTGGCCTGGTTACCCCTAACTTCCCTCCCTTGACAGTCTGGTCACTCCTAACTATCCTCCCCTGTTGGCCTGTTTCCCCCTAATTGCCCTTCCCTGCAGGTCTGGCCACTCTCAACTGCCATCCCCTACTGGCCCAGTCACCCCTAACTGCTCTCCCCTACTGACCCAGTCGCCCCTAACTACCTTCCCTTGTAGGCCTTGTCCCTCCCAACTGCACTCCCCAGCTGGCCTGATTGCCCACAACTGCCCTCCCCTGCTGGCCATCTTGTGGTGGACATCTTGTATCTATATGGGGGCATCCATCTCTGGCCACATGGGGCAGCCATCTTGTGTGTTGTAGTAATGGTCAATTTGCATATTAACTATTTATTATATAGGACCAGAGGCCCAGTGCATGAAATTCATACAAGGGGGTGTGTGTTTCCCTCAGCCCAGCCTGAACCCTCTCCAAGCTGGGACTCTGGTGAGATTGGGCCTCAATGGACAGTCAGAATCCTGTTCACAATCCAGGACTGCTGGCTCCCAACTGCTCACCTGCTTGCCTGCCTAAATGTCTCTAACTGCTTTTGCCTGCCAGCCTGATCACTCCCTAACCACTCCCTGTCAGCCTAATAGACACCTAACTGCTCCCCTGTCAGCCCAATTGCCCCTAACTGTCTTCCCCTGCTGGCCTGGTCACTCCTAACTTCCCTTGCCAGCCTGGTCTCCCCCAATTGCCCTCCCTTGCTAGCTTAGTCACCCTTAACTGTTCTCCCTTTGAGCCTGGTTACCCTCAACTGCCCTCCCTTGCAGGCCTGGTCCCTCCCAATTGCCCTCCCTTGCAGGCCTGGTCCCCCCAACTTCCCTCCCCTACAGGCCTTGTCCCTCCCAACACCCTCCCCCCCTGCAAGCCTTGTATCCCCCAACTATTCACCCCTGCTGGCCTGGTCACCCCTAACTACCCTCCCCTGCTGGCCTTGTCTGTCCCAACTGCCCCTCTACAGGCCTGGTACCCCACAACTAACCTCCCCTGCAGGACTGGTCCCCCCCAACTGCTGGCCTGGTTGCCCCTAACTGCTCTCCCCTCTGGTCTGGTTGTTCCCAACTGCCCTCCCCTACAGTCCTGGTCCCTCCCAACTGTCCTCCCCTGCTGGCTTGATCACCCATTATTGCCCTCCCCTGCCGGCCATCTTGTGGTGGCCATCTTGTGTCCACATGGGGGCATCCATCTTTGACCACATGGGCATCCATCTTTGACCACATGGGGGTGACCATCTTGTGTGTTGTAATGATGGTCAATTTGCATATTACCTCTTTATTATATAAGATATTTTTGAAAAGTGACCCTATAGACATACAAATTTGTAAAATAATTAAATCATAGTGATAGATTTGCTTTCTTGAATTGCTTCTGAAAAATAATACAAGACTATCACTTGGGATTTTTAGAAAAGGACTTATAAGATAACACAATGATGATTTTTGTTTGGGCCAGACCAAAAAGAGATTTAAGGTATTTTACTAGATTTGATTTGGAAGGGGACAACAGTCCCCTTTGTCCTGTAAAATCAGGGTTCATGCTAAAGTTCAGAATGGATAGCATGATAAATAGTTATTAACTTATAATGTAAAAATTTAATTTGGATCTTGGCACTCAAGATAAAAATGCTTGTATTATTATGATTTCATTTTACAATTTAAATATAACAATAGGCATTTTAAAGAGAATAATGTATTTCAAATCAAAGGATACCTGTTTCTGTAGAATAAACTCTGAAACTCTTATCCCAGAATCCACAGATGAGAATATAGCGATTATCCGCTGTGACCACAAAACAATGTGCATTGATTTGTATACTCTGGTCAACAAGGTCTGTGATCTGCCGTTTGTTCACACCAGAGTTATTAGCTAAATGCAAATAGAAAAAAAAATATTTCATACAAGTTTCATCAAGCATTTATAGATGTAATACTTTTATTCTTCATTTGTGTCAAAAAAGTTTTAATAAGAATATATAGGTTAATATTTTATATTTACCCATGAGGAATAGAAACTGTTTTAGTAGCAGTGATTATTTATAAACCACATTACATATTTAAAAATTGTCATAAATATAAATTCTTCCTCCACCAATAAATAAATACAACATGAGGAATTCAAGATAATGACTTTAAAATAAAATAATAACAATATCTAAATGCACTTAATTTCATATATGTTTACTATACACAAGTTCATTAGTGTCCACATGTTCAACATTAATGAGGAATAATACTGAGATATACTATATAAGGAAAAAATATCTTAATATTTTCAACAATCTGTCATTTTCTGATAGCATTTACAATTCATATAAAAAGAGGATAGAGATTTGAACAAGGGGTGTTGCTATATGGGCATTCCCACAGGAACATTTAGGTCAGTAGCTTTAAAGACTTGGATTGTCAACAAACAGAAGGCCTTTCCAGAATGGGCTGGCAGGGGACCAGAGAAATGAAAAAGATAGGAGAGGAACTGAAGAGGAAAGAGACAGGCCAAGAGTCAGTGGACAGAACTGAGATCTGAATAAAGTCAAGAACACAAACACAATCTGATTTCCCTAGTGCCTGTCTGTATGCCAGTCTATCTCTTACTCTACACCGCCCTTTCAGGCTAAATCTATGGGCTGAATTCTGAAACAGAAAATGTGATGTAGAAGATCACCATCACTTTTTAACACTAATTAAATCTATGCGCTACTATTTGTGGGGATCTACTAACACTATAATAATATTTACTAGAGAAGATAAACAATTAAAAAAAAAACTGTGCAAGAAAGGTAGCAAAGAAAGTTAAAGATCCTAAGTCACGTAAACACTCTGTAAGTTATCTATCTAAATATATGCTGATATGCTAAGTGCCCAACTGTCCGGGTAATGACCTCACGTAGCAATGCCCAGCTTCCTCTCCCTAGCAGCTAGCCTCCTTTCAGTTTCTTCAGCCCAGGAACACTACTTGCTTTATAGCCAGGTGGAAACATTTCACACTGTAACCAAATGTCTGTGAAGAATTTTCCTATGCCTCATCTCATTTCATCCTCAAAGAAGTCCTGAAATAGGTAGATAGGAGACTTGGTGGAATCCTATTTTCTTTCCATTAGCTAGAAAATGAAGATTTAGAAAGTTTAGAAACTTGACCTAACTGAAAAGAAGAAAGAAATGGTGGACCTTGAAAATGATTTTAGGTTTTATCACTGTACAGAATATAGTCAAACACTGCTGCAGTTAAATATTTTACCCTTCGTTTTCCCTGCATACTTTATAATAATAATCAGCTTCATGTTGATATTTATTACTGTTTTGCTGTCAATTACCTGAAAGAGAAGTTGGAGTGCTTCATTGGGATGTAAAAAGTTTAGCTAAATCAGAAAGCAGGTCTAATTAAGCAAGTTTATTCTATATCTATAAAAGGCTAAGTTAACTTGCACATGCATGATACATATAAAGCTCTCGCTGGTGCCAATCACAAACATGTGTTTTAATCTGTCATTGTTGATTGTGAATTTAGTTGACACATCTATTATAGAGAAAGGGCGAATAACAATAGTAAAATTTATTCTAAATAATTTATTTTCAATGTGCATGAATTTGTGCACCAGGCTACTGGTAATTATATCCTAATATATAAAAATCCTGGGTCATAATGACCAGTAACAACCGAGGCTTGACCAACTGGAAGTCAGTCTTACAGTCAAGTGATGGGTTGCCACTGCTTCTGCTGCAGATGAGGTGCCCCAGCAATGACTGCTCAGGGGGCTGCGAATCAGGGCAGCCCCCTCAGCAGAGAGAGAGCTGAAGAGAGTTCCCTCAGAGAAGCCTTAAGAGAGAAGCAGGAACTGATCCACAACCTCTGTGGCAGCTTTTAATCAGCACTTGCCTCTCTCTTTCTCACGCAGTCTTGCTAGCATACATACCTCCATTTCTCTCCGGGCTCCACTAGGGCTGCTGATCAGCCCCACCTTTCTGATCAGGCCTTGTTGATAGGCCCAGAGATACTGACTTCCAATCAGAACCAAATCTGGGTCAACTGTGAGGAGCCAACGGTTGCCTAGGAGGCAGAGCTTTTGATGCTGACTGGCATAGAAACGACCAATCAGAACCCAATCTGGGTTAAGTATGAGGAGGTAATGGCTGCCTAGGAGGCAGAGCTTTTGACCCTGACTGTCATAGAAACCAACCATTCAGAACCAAATTGGCCAGCAGAGGAGGGCAGTTGGGAGCTTGATTAGGCCTACAGGGGAGGGCAGTTTGGGGAAGATCAGGATGGCAGGGGAGGGCAGTTAGGAACGATATCAGGTCAGCAGGGGAGGGTAGTTGGGGGTGAGATCAGGCAGGCAGAGGCAATTGGGGGCAAGATCAGGCCATCAAGGGAGGGCAGTTAGGGGTGATCAGGAAGGCAGGCAGAGGCAGTTAGGGGCAGGAAGGTAGGTGAGCAGTTAGAAGCTAGCAGTCCCAGATTGCTAGAGGGATGTCTGACTGCCAGTTTAGGCCTGAGCCTGGGCCTAAACTGGCAGTCAGACATCCCCCAAGGAGTCCCCAATTGGAGAGGGTTTAGGCTGGGCTGAGGGGACCCCCTCCTCCATGCATGAATTTCATGCACTGGGCCACTAGTATAACTATATAATTGGTCCTTTATTTATTCTAATACAGCTATAAATTTTTCCATGGTTATACTGTACCTGTATGTGACATTGTCAATCTTTCTTAATATAGCTAGACTCTAAAAATATTCCTGGTACTAAACCTTATAACCTCCCAAAGACATACAAATGCTATTTTATATAGGGATATAACTGACTGACAAGTCTCTCTCTATCTTATTTCTGGGTTCATGGGTAAAGGGTGAATTAATATAAGAAAAAAGTACTATTACTTGTATATGGCTTAATATTTCATAAAATTTTTTTTCCTTAGTTTTCTACATGATCACCTGAAATAGGAAAAACCAACATTAGTATTGTGAACCATCTTGCAGATATGAAACTGAGGCCTAGAAAGATTGAGAGGCTTGTTTTGGATCATATGAATAATAAAGATGTGTGTGATAATTTAAAATATATGTAATAACTTCTGCAAAGAATTATAGCTCATGAGCTTGTGATTTATATGAAATATTTAATTTAAAAAATATTTTAGCCCTACTAAATAAAGATTCATAAAAATGTTTTTCACAATTAGTGAAAATTATTAGATTTACTTTAATAATCTCTTTGAGCCTTTATATATTTTAAATATCAAGCTGTAAAAGACTAGTTTAGGATGAAAGGAAGAAGAGTTTGGAAATATGTGCCTTGTTTAGAACCAACTTAAAATGACTTCCTAAAACATAAAAGAAAGCCACAAATAATTGTTTAATACAAAAAAGTTCTTAGATGGCATATTATAATTTTCAGAGCTCTTTACTAGTAATTTGACATTATTAGCACATTAATTTTGCGGCATAAAAATATTATTCAACTATCATTTGTGGACAATCAGCAACTATGAAAATATATTTTTGTTTTTAGCATACCAATGAGTGGATCCATTTCAATGGGAAGATGATGGGCTTGATCCAAGGAGTACCCTGGAGCTCCTCTGAGGCCTACAGATTAAATAAAAAGAGAAAACTACCATTAAATTATCAGAAAAGAGGCATTTCCTAATCAGCAGTATTTTATGATGATTACACAAAATAGACATACAAAATATACATTTAGTTAAAGGTTATTTGGTAAATTCATATGAGAATGATAAAGTCTTATCACATGTCTTTGTAGATAATCTTTTAAAAAATCATTACAATAGAGATTGCTAGTTTCCACTTAGGATGTAGAATGTAGAAAGCTAGAAAGAGTGTTAATATTATAACAAAAAACTGGATAAAATAGATAATCATAACATTTCTTGAACCCAAAATACAGCTAAGGTTGCTGGGCAACCAATGAGGCTGAAATCTAAGAAAGGCTATGCCTGCAAACAGCGATGTGTTTGATCACAGATTCACATAGGCACGGGCAGATGGAAAGATGGAGCTGCCTCCCAAGAGGGCCTTCTTTCAATATAGGACAAGTCAACTAAAGGCATAAACCTGAGCCACACCTCAAATCTTAAACTCAGTAAAAGCTTTCTTCAGAGGATTAATGTTTTGGGGCTTGATTGAGGTCATCAGTCATAATTTATTACATGTGATTACATAATTTATTACATGTAAAAATATAAAAACCTAATATGCTAAGTGTCCATTCAACTGGTTGCTATGACACTCACTGACTACCAGGGGGAAGATGCTCAATGCAGGAGCTGCAGTGATACGCAATGGCCATTTACAGAGAAATAGCTCCACAGACCTGGGGCCCACAAAGCAACACTCGGTTTCCACCAAGTGAGACACAAGCCCTACCACCACCCCAGAATGACACCCCATCAAATCGCAGCCAATGGTGCCAAGACCCCATGGCACAAAATGAGTCCCATGGCCCAGCCTAGCCTGGAAATAGTGGCTGTGGCCACCAGGAAATGATGTCATGTAGCAACGCTTGGCTTCCTCTCCCTAACAACTAGCCTTCTTTCAGTTTCTTCAGCCCAGGAACACTACTTGCTTTATAGCCAGGTGGTAACATTTCACACTGTAACCAAATGTCTGTGAAGCACTTTCCTATGCCTCATCTCATTTGATCCTCAAGAAGTCCTAGAATAGGTAGATAGAAGAGTCAGTGGAAACCTATTTAGAAAACAGAGATTTAGAAAGCTTAGAAACTTGACCTAACTGAAAAGAAGTAAGAAATGATGGATCTTGAAAATGACTTTAGGTTTTCTCACTGTGCAGAATTCAGTCAAAGACTGCTGCAATAAAATATTTTACCCTTAGTTCTTCCTGTGTGCTCTACAATAATAATCTGCTTCATGTTGATATTTACTGCTGTATTGCTAACAATTACTTGAAAGAGAAGTTGGGGTGCTTCACTGGGCTGTAAAAAGTTTGGCTAAATCAGGAAGAAGGTCTAATTAAGCAAGTCTATTCTATATTTATAAAAAGGCTAAGTTGACTCATGCATGTGTCATACATATAAAGCTCTTACTGACGCCAATTACACATGTGTGTTTTGATCTGTCATTGTCGATCGTGAATTTGGTTGACACTTCTATTATAGAGAAAGGGTGAATAGTGATATTAAAATATTTCTTCTAATTAATTTCCTTTCAATGTGTATGAGTTTGTGCACCAGGCCACTAGTATAACGTATAATGCTTTTGAACAAGTCTAAAATTTAGTCCTTCATAATTTTCTCCCACTGCAAAACAGGTCTAGAGGCTAAGATTCCTGTGAATAGTCATATACAGGATGGGGCAAAAGTAGGTTTACAGTTGTGAGTATGTGAGATACAGAGGTTATTCTTGTATTATTATTATTATTATTATTATTGAGTTGACTACATAAAATTTTATTTATTTATTTATTTATCTTTTTTTTTCATATTTTATTGATTTTTTTTGCACCCCTCCCTCCCTCACACATATCCCCTCCCTCCCCAGAGTTTTATGTCCATTGGTTGTACTTATATGCATGTATACAAGTCCTTGGGTTGACTTATTATCTCCCCCAGACCCTCCTCCCCTCCCCGCTGTAATCTGACAGTCTGCTTGTTGCTTTACTGTCTCTATATCTATCTTTTGGTTCATCAGTTTATAATGATCTTTATTAACCACAAATGAGTGGGGTCATGTGGTGTTTCTCTTTCATTGATTGGCTTATTTCACTCAGCATGATGTTCTCCAATTCCATCCAGGTTGCTGCAAATGATGAGAATTCCTTCTTTTTTATGGCAGCATAGTATTCCATTGTGTAGATGTACCATAGTTTTTGGATCCAATCATCAGCTGACGGGCACCTAGGCTGTTTCCAGATTCTAGCTATTGTAGATTGTGCTGCTATGAACATAGGGGTACGTATATCCTTTCTGATTGGTGTTTCTAGTTTCTTGGGATATATTCCTAGAAGTGGGATTACTGGGTCAAATGGGAATTCCATTTTCAGTTTTGTGAGGAAACTCCACACTGTTCTCCACAGTGGTTGCACCAGTCTGCATTCCCACCAGCAGTGCACGAGGGTTCCTTTTTCTCCACAACCTCGCCAACACTTGTCGTTTGTTGATTTGTTGATGTTGGCCATTCTGACAGGTGTGAGATGGTACCGCATTGTTGTTTTGATTTGCATCTCTTAGATAATTAGTGACTTTGAGCATGTTTTCATGTGCCTTTTGGCCTTCCTTCTGTCTTCTTTTGTAAATATTTGACAAAGGAGGCACCAATATACAATGGAGTCAAGACAGTTTCTTCAGTAAATGGTGTTGGGAAAATTGGGCAGACACATGCAAAAGATTGAAACTAGATCACCAACTTACACCATACACAAAAATAAACTCAAAATGGATACAGGACTTAAACATCAGACGGGAAACCATAAAATATTATTATTATTATTATTATTATTATTTATTATATTATTTCCATAATAAACAATGATAAACCTACTTTTGCCCAACCCTGTATATTTGAAGATGTTTGCTATACATTACTGATTGAATGGAAGTAGTTCCACCTCCATGTTGATAACATTACCAAAAATTGTAGTAAAATAGATTTACTTAGAAGCTTTCAGGAGACTAAGCTATGCTATAAATGACTATTTTTCAGAACAATACAGAAATCAACAGACTAGAAAGATTTCAGTTAATTCACCATAGCTCATCTGTTCAGTCCTGGTGACAGTGGGAATCCTCGGGCTTCCAGAGAGATCTTAACTGATGAACTGAGCCAAATAAATAATTTGGTCACATCCACTTCTGTTCTGATTAAATAAGTACCAATATGTCTAGGTTTTATGACAGAATTATATCACTTCAAGATGAACTTGCTGGAACTTTCGGGAATGAGTTTGGAGAAAACACATGTGAGATTACTGAATAATTTAGATTTTTCTTTTGTCAAAGACTCTTAGCTTTACAAGGAGAAAAATGGTGTTTATATTTTTCATTGCTATATGCTCAAGACTATCTGACACATAGTGGCCATTCAAAGATTTGCTAAAGAAATTAATGAAGTAAAAGAAAGAGGATTTGAAACAATTATCAAGAAAATGCAGATTCAACCTCTCCTTTGTTTAATATGGGAAAATTGTTTTTTGTTTTTTTTTCTGGGGGTAGATAGAATATGGTGGAAGGACCTGACTGATTTGAAGAACTGCTTCTATTTATCAAAGATGTATTAAACACATGATCTGTATTAAAATTCTGTATTAAAATATAGCAGCAGATAAGACAGAAAAGTGTCATACAGTTAAGTCTGGCAATTATTTACTCTGCTGTTTTTGATGATAATTTGGCAGTGTACCTTGCCTGAATTGGCACATATGTTACCTTAATTGCAGTTTTTAAGAACCACTTAGCAAGTGACTTTCTTAGGGACACCTACCTACTGTATTGTGCCATCGATTCACTGCAAACAGTCTGCTGCAGGTCACAGTCACAACAGCAGGGATAGTCAGGTGGGGCAGTGTGTTAGCTGCCACATGGGTTACTGGAGAATTTGATGGAAACTTCAGCACCATGATCACATCCTGTTGCATCTGGTCTTTAAACATGAGTGGACTCTGTGGAAGGAAACACTGTTGAATAGAAAGGGAAGAGAGCAAAAGAAAACAAAAGGAATAACACAGTTAGTGAAAGTTCTGGGGAGCATGAGGTTAGCATGAGCACACAGAGAACAAAACAATGCTAACTTTGGTACTGTGAAGACAGCACAGAGAAAAGAGAGCAGGGACTCTGGTAGTCATTGATGGAGGACACTCAATTCTTAACAACCAATCTCCATGGAATCAGACTATCGATACAATGTAAGAAGTTAGCTTATAGTTATGTACACATGATGTAGCATAAGTATTCAACGCAATTAAAATGTCAGGTTTATGGGAAAATTAGTCAAGTCAGTTACTGACACTGTTTACATAAAATATAAATTACACAGATTGATATTTTCATTTTTTACCAAGTTGACCTGGGGTCACGGTTACTGTCTATATAATAAGAACATAATAGCCTCCCTTGACAGAGCTTTACACACATTTCTACTGTGGCAGTACTGACTGCGTATGGCCCATGCCTCCTTTCCCCAGTCTGTGCTATGAGCTTACTGAGAGCAAACCTGCTTTTAATTTTTAAACCTTTGTTTATCAAACATCGAGGATATGACCTAAGAGATAATAGATACTACAAGTACTACTATTAAGTACTATAAAACACTATAAATACTATTATATAAAAACACAAAATAGCGATCCTGGGCATAAACATTATTTAGCTCTCATCCATGTTTTGTAATTGTTTGCTATATATATATGAATTCTCGGATACATGAACTTAAAAAGCTTATATGTTCTTTATAAACAGTTCCAGGTCAATTTAGTCTCTAACAATTTCCTCTAGAAAAGTAATGAATTCTAACAAGGCATAAATCTAGGATAAATATTATTATTATTATTATTATTAGTAGTAGTAGTAGTAGTAGTAGTAGTAGAGGCCCGATGCATGAAGATTCATGCAGGAATAGGCCTTCTTTCCCTGGCTGCCAACACTGCCTTCACTCTGGCCGGAGCTGCCTTTTTACTCCAACCTGGAACTGCCTTTCCAACTTCCCAAGCTGTCCAGAGGCCCAGAGTGGCTGGGGCAGTGTGGAATGCCTGTCCCTCCCTGCCCCCAGCTACTCAGCACCTGAGTATGCAAATTAACCTGCCATCTTTGTTGGGCCAATTTGCATACTCACTCCTGATTGGCAGGAGAGCATTGTGAAGATACGGTCAATTTGCATCTTACTCTTTTATTAGTGTAGATTATTAAACAGAGAAAACTAACTCAGGAATAAACTCTTCTTCCAAAGTATGTCATAAAGTAAGGTGTTAAGATATATTATCTTGGACAGTTTATTAAAAATGCTTCATCTGAAGGCTGGAGAGTCTATATCTACACTATGACTGGGTGTTTGTATGGGAAAGCACATTTGGTACAGTCCTTTCTGCTCTGTCACACACAAGGAACCATTCAATCAGAAGAGTTCATTAGCAACTAATCAAGGGGCTGAAATTGGTTGAGCCATTATCCTATATAATAAAAGGGTAAATATGCAAATCGTCCCCTTGGGAGTTCAAACAGCAGATCTGGAGTTTGATCGTTCGCTATGTGTGATGACCATGAAGGCAGCGAGGACCATGGCAGGGAACTGAGGGAGTGAGGGAAGGAGGTGGGAAGGTGGGGAACTTGATCTGCCTGATCATTGGCTAGGCCTAAGAACCCTACCCATGTACAGATTTTGTGCACCGAAGAATAAAATGCTTTCATACAAACATTTTATTTATGTAGTTCACTAGGAGTTTCTCTATTGACTCCTTGAAGGTATAGAAGATGTACTTATTTGCCTCAATACAGTACTAATTGTATTGCCAATGCTTACCAACATGTCTGATAAGAGAAGGGGCTCAATACAAATTTGTTAAGCAACTGACAGAATAAATGAAAGGTGTAAAAATACTTCCATCATAGCTTTATAACTTTGTGTATGCCTACATTATGAACCATATTCCAGAGCTCTTCTTCCAAAATTAGGGTATTTGCTGCCTTGATAACTGTCTAGAAAAACTGATAAGCTATAATTCATCACATTTTGTGCAAATACATTTTTATCTTACAGCATTTTTTTTATTAGAGAAACAATAGTAAAACTTAACTTTTAAAAAAATCTAAATAAGTTTATCAGAATTTTTTATTTTCTTCAAATTAGATAAAGAAGGAAATGTTCATTATTTGTTAATAAATTGAAAAAGGACTGCTTTGTTATGAAAATAAAAATAATAGAGGAAGGAAGATGGTGACCGGCAGAAAGATAAGGAGGGAGAGAGTGTGAGAGAGTGAGGGAACAATAGATTATGTGGATGTGTGTGGTATGTGTGTGTGTATGAGCTAGGGACAGTTAGATTCTGCAGGTCTTCCGAGGGGCTGCCAAACCAGGCAGTCTTAGATGGCAGAGCCCCACTCCAATGCAGACACTCCAGGGTGGCCAGCACGAGCACAGAGACCACGTCATCTTGAGAAACAGCTGCTTGAGACTAGGATCCTGGCCTCAGCAACACCCAGTCTGGTCTAAGACACAAACCAGAACCCTGCAGCCACTGGGGACAGAGACCTGCGACCACAGCTGCAGACCCACAGACACTAAGAATCCAGACATTTCTGCCATATATTTCTGTGAGTCACAGAGCTTTTCCCCTCCCAGCAGGCTCACGGGCAGAGCTATAGTAACTGATAGACAAGCCCCTCGCATTGGCTGCAGCTTCGCTACAGGAATTTGAGCCTTGGAGTGCGTAGACACTGGGAATTTGTTCTCTGCAATGCAATCGTGAGACCAAACCCGAAGCCATGCAGGGTGGCGGTGCCACCTGACTTCAATTCTGGGAAAGCGCACACAAAAGTCTGTTTTCCAAAGCACAGGAGCAGACCTCCTGCTGACCTCCTGTGCAACCCAGTCCCCCAAGCTGACCAGGACCCCGATTCACAGGAAGGGAGGCAACACTGAGCACCAGTGACTTGACTCTGTTTCTTATTGCATGCACCTGGGTGCAATAAGAAACAGAGTCAACTGCCCTCCCCTGCTGGCCATCTTCTGCTGGCCATCTTGTGTACACATGGGGGCAGGACCTTTGACCACATGGGGGAACCATCTTGTGTGTTGGAGTGATGGTCAATCTGCATATTACTCTTTTATTAGATAGGGTAGAGGACTGGTGCATGGGTGGGGGCCAGCTGGTTTGCCTTGAAGGGTGTCCCAGATCAGGGTGAGGGAGGGTGGGGCAGCCTGAACGAGGGGCTTGTGGTGGTTTGCAGGCTAGCCATGCCCCCTGGCGACCCAAATGGAGGCCCTGGTATCTGGAATCTATTTACCTTTACAATTGAAACTTTGTAGCCTGGAGCAGAGCCAAGTCTCCTGCTCACTCCATGGAGGCAGACATTTCTGTTGGAGTTTATTATCCTTCTATAATTAAAACTTTGTAGCCTTAAGCAGAGGCCTGGGCTAGCCAGGCTGTGCGGAAAGATTTTCTTCTTCCATTGCTGGAGGCAACCCTAGCCTCCCGCTCTTTCCAGCTCCCTAGCTGCCGCCATTTCTGTTTGGATTTGTTTACCTTCCATAATTGAAACTTTGTAGCCTTGAGTGGAGGCTTAGGCTGGCAAGGGCAGGTGGAAAGCTTGGCTTCTTCCATTGCCTGGGAAATCCAAGCCTTCTTCCTGCTCTCTGTGGCTGTAGCCATCTTGATTGGGTTTATTTGCATATTCACTCTGATTGGCTGGTGGGAGTGGCTGGTGGGTATAGTGGAGTGATGGTTAATTTGCATATTACTCTTTTATTAAGTAGAATGATTGTGTTACCAAATTGATCAAAGAAGAAATTAAAAACATCCTGGAAACTAATGAAAATAAAAACACAACAATCCAAAATCTATGGGACACAATGAAAGCAGTCCTAAAAGGGAAGTTTATAGCACTACAGGCCTACCTCAAAAAACAAGGAAAAAAATGGTAGTAATTCCTCTAACTCTACAACTCAAAGAATTAGAAAGAAAGTAACAAGAAAAGCCTAGAGTGAGCAGAAGGAAGGAGAAAATAAAGACCAGAGAGAAGTAAATGGCATAGAGACCAAAAACAATACAAGAGATCAATGACATGAAGAGCTGGTTCTTGAAAGGATAAACAAGATTTATTAACTTCTAGCCAAGCTCACCAAGAAGCAAAGAGAGAGGACCCAAATAAACAAAATCATAAGTGAAAGAGGGAAAATAACAACAGACCCCACAGAAATACAAAGGATTGTTGGCCAATAACTATGGAAGAAACTGAAGTAGCTATCATAAAGCTCCCAGCAAACAAAGCCTATGGCCATACAACTTTACAGGGAAATTTTACCAAACATTTAAGGAAGAACTAAAACCTATTCCCCTCATACTATTCCAAAAAAATAAAGATGAAGGAACACTTCCAAGCTTACTCTACGAAGCCAGCATTACCCTAATACCCAAAGTAGTTAAAGACAACACAATGAAAGAGAATTACAGGCTAATATCCCTCATGAACATAGATGCCAAAATCCTCAACAAAATTCTAGCAAATCAGATCCAGCAGCACATCAGAAAGACCATACACCATGACCAAGTAGGATTTATCCCAGGGATGCAAGTTGGTACAATATCCACAAATCAACAAATGCAATACATCACATAAACAAACTGAGAGATAAAAATCACATAGTCATATCAATTGATGCAGAAAAAGCATTTGACAAAATCCAACATCCTTTCTTGGTAAAAACTCTCAGCAAGATAGAAATAGAAGGATCATACCTCAACATAATAAAACCTTACATGACAAACCCACAGCCAACATCATACTCAATGGGCAAAAACTAAAACCATTTCCCCAAAAAACAGGAACAAGACAGGGATGCCCACCTTCACCATTCCTGTTCGACATAGTGCTGGAAGTACTAGCCATTGCAATCAGACAAAAATAAAAGACATCTAAATTGGAAAGGAAGAAGTAAAATTGTCCTTATACACAGATGACATGATACTGTACATAGAAAACCATAAAGACTCCATCAAAAAAGTTATTCAACTTAATAAATGAATTTGGCAAAGTAGCAGGATACAAAATTAATGCCAAGAAATTTATGCTATTTCTTTATACCAACAGTGAACTTATGTAAAGAGAGACTGAAAAAGCAATCCCACTTGCAATTATAGCAAAAATATTAAGGGGGTAAAATAAACTTAACTAAGGGGGTAAAACACCTATATATGAAAAACTAGAGGAGACTGAAAAAAGAGTTAGAGGAAGATGTAAACAGATGGAAGAATATACTGTGTTCATGGATTGGAAGAACCAACATCATCAAAATGTCCATACTACCCAAAGCAATCTACAGATTCAATGTACTCCCCATTAAAATAATAATGGCATATGTCACAGACCTAGAACAACTTCTCCAAAAATTCATCTGGAATAAAAAAGGACCCCAAATAGCTGCAGCAATCCTGAGAAAAAAGAATGAAGTAGGTGGGATCTCAATACCAGATTTCAAGCTGTATTACAAAGCCACTGTTCTCAAAACAGCCTGGTACTGGCACAAGAACATATATAGATCAATGAAAAAGAATATAGAACCCAGAAATCAATCCAAACCACTATGCCCAATTAATATTGATAAAGGAGGCAAGAGCATACAATGAAGTCGAGACCTTCTCTTCAATAAATGGTGTTGGGAAAATTGGACAGATACATGCAAAAAAATGAAACTAGATCACCAACTTACACCATATGCAAAAATAAACTCAAAATGGATACAGGACTTAAAAATAAGATGGGAAACCATAAAAATTCTAGAAGAATTTACAGGCAGCAAAATATCATATGCTAAAACAATTTCTTCATTGATACTGCTTCGAGGGCAATGGAAAGTAAAGAAAAAATAGACAAATGGGATTATACCAAAATAAAAGCTTTTGCACAGCAAAGGAAGCCATCAACAAAACAACAAGAAAGTCCACTGAATGGGAGAACACATTTGCCAATGTTATCACTGATAAGTGTTTAATCTGCAACATTTACAGGGAACTCATACAACTTAATAAAAGAAAGATTAACAATCCAATAAAAAATGGGCAAAAGACCTAAATAGATATTTCTGGAAAGAAGACAGAAGAAAGGCCAAAAGACATATGAAAACATGCTCAAAGTCACTAATCATCAGAGAGATGCAAATCAAAACAACAATGTGGTCCATCTCACACTGTCAGAATGGCTATAATCAACAAATCAACAAACGACAAGTGTTGGCAAGGATTTGGAGAAAAAGGAACCCTAGTGCATTGCTGGTGTGAATGCAGACTGGTGCAGCCACTGTGGAGAACAGTATAGAGTTTCCTCAAAAAATTAAAAATGGAACTCCCACTTGACCCTGTGATCCCACTTGTAGGAATATATCCCAAGAATCAAGAAACACCAATCAGAAAGGATTTATGCACCCTATGGTCATAGCAGCACAATTTATAATAGCTAAAATTTGCAAACAGCCTAAATGCCCATCAGCAGATGAGTAGATTAAAAAACTGTGATACTTCTACACAACAGAATACTATACTGAGGTAAAAAAGAAGAAATTCTTACCATTTGCAATAGCATGTATGGAACTGAAAAGCATTATGCTAACTTAAGCCAGTCAGAGAAAGATAAATATCACATGATCTCACTCATTTATGGAATATAATGAACAACATAAACTGATGAACCAAAAAAGATCCAGAGATAGAGAAGCATTGATCAGATTGTTAAACCTCACAGGGAAGGTAGGAAAGAGTGAGGGTAAGTGGGAGAGATCAACCAAAGGACTTGTATGAATGCATATAAGCCTAATCAATGGACACAGACAACATTGGGGTGTGTGCAGGATTGGGGATGGGGGGGTTGGGAGTTTAATGAGGGGATGAGGACACATGTGTAATACTTTAATAAAGAAATTAAAAAAGCAAAATAATATTATTTTTTCCATTGCAAATGGAAAAGGAAAATTTAACTTAAATTAAATTGCTAATGATGATTGATGACACCAGTTAATGTTTACTGAGAACTTATTACATGCCAGGTGCTGGTCTAAGTGGTATACATATTGAGTGATGAAACTCTCAGGTGTGATGAAATGTAAAGAGAAGTTAAATAAACCTTGCCTAAGTCACTCACTAGTTAGTGGTGGAGATGGTATGTCACCATCTCTGGCTCTGGAGCCCTTGTTCTTAACCCCTCTGTTCAACTGCCACTCTGTGGTGACCATAAATTACTTCTATATATCTTTTCTTAAAATGATCTATTGCCCTTATCTCACCTTGCCCAAAAAGATTAAATTGGACAATATGTTTTGTTTATATGTTTTTCATCTAATTTATAAATTGAATCTAATTTTGGTGTGGGTGTACTTAAGACTGCATGTGTATGAATGAGTCTATGTTAAGGCAGATAGTCAGAGAAGATGGCTATTTTGTGAACCCCAAATTGAGCTAGCTTCAGTAAGACTGTACTCTCTTCTCTGTTTCTCCCTAGGGTATCAATAAATATCTAGGTAAAGAGTTAACCAATATATTGAGAAGCCTTTAAAATGTTGCTAAAAAATAACTTTTATTTGATGTATATCCAGCTATAAGAAAGAAAATTTCAACAAGCTGATATGTCTTACCAGGTGCATGGCAGAGCTCCGAGGTGGATGTGGCTCAATAAGTAACTGAGATGGTGTCTGTCCAAAGTTTTGTATCTGTGCTTCCATGGCCTGCAGGAGAAGGGGAGTGATTATCATAATCAATAGGCATCAATAAGGGAGGTCAAGACTCTCTGACAATGCAAGTGTACCCCAAGTCAGCCATGAAGGAAATTCAGAAAATTCCCTGGGTGCTCTTCTCTCAGAGTCATCCAAGTGTTAGTATTTTTTAGACAAGCTTTTATTTCCTTCCAAATGTGCTTCTGCTAACCAAGATACTATTCCAACTTGAAAGCTGGGGTTAATTGTGGAAATGTTAACCTGTGAGAAAATGCATGCAGCTAAAGGCCAAAGAACTGAAGAACCTGCTTAACACTAAATACAACACATATACCTCAATAAAGTCATTTGTAAGAAGGAACGTATGGAGGTCTCTAATGAAATAAGCTTCTGGAATCTTTATGGGAATAAAAAAAAGAGACATGAAATCCACAGACAACACAAAATATAATCCAGAAAATCACATGTTCTAATAAATTCAGAAGACAATCAGTAGAAATAATACTAAGTATTTTGTATAAAGATTAAATGTAGCAAAACGTTCACTACAAAAATATATTTTAACATGCTATGCTGCTTTAAGATGAATCCTGGAATATTATTTTAAGGTATAAATTTATTATTTTCAAAAGGTTTCTGAAATGCTAGAGAAAGCTAGCCTAACGAGGATACCATTATTTGAGCATCCTGAGCTATGCAATATTTCATTATGGCCTATGTAGATGGAAATATTAATTAGATTTTAAAGCTTCTAATAAATAAAAATTATTTTAGACCCCATATTATCTGGACTGTATACTTTTTATTGTATATATGTCAAAGAGATAATCTTGAAAACTAAGTATATCTTCTATATGTAAATTTTATAGGCAAAATATTTCAATATATTAAGGTAGACTAATGGAAGTAATTTTCTGAAATATTATATGTAATTTAATTTAGCAAGAAGAACCACATTATTTACTATGATAATTACTCTGTTACCATGCTAATTTCCCTCCTAAATAATGTGCCATTTTGTTGCATATAAAAGTGAAATATTAAAATCATTGCTGAGTGCAGGTAAGTTGATAGATAGCTCTCAACACAATACTGCCACTAATTATATTACTATCTACAATTCTCATTTATAAAGTACTTAAATTTAACAACATGTCCTCTTAAGCTGCAATTCAAGAAAATACTTTTCAATAAAAGTGTTAATTTTCAAATTTACTAGCAATATTAACCATAAATGCATCATTATTTGCCAGATTTTAGCATAAATGGGGCTTTGGTTCTTTTACTTGCAGAAACATTAGGATAAATTATTAAATCTCTTTAAGTGGTGCCCAATTTTAATGTATACATTTATTTGCATGGTGTCCACACATATGCAAAGTGTGACTATTTACCTTAATTGTACTAAAACAGCATATTTTATCATTGATGGCAAGATTTATGATTGTAAAATGGGGAAATGATCATTTCTGGCTAGGTTCACATTATTAATAACAAACTCTTGAAAATTATTGAAAAAATGAGCACTTTCATTGTTAAAGCTGTCATGATTAGAAAGTGTCCAATACCTAGCTCAATGTATAATGAAGAGCTCAAGTCTCTCTGACAATAGATACTATTGCTTGTGCTTTTATTCCTTAAGAAAGAGGACCAGGGAGGGACTCAGGAGACAAGGATAAAATTAAACACATTTAAATCTCTGGATCAGTGCCTTGAACTTAGCAGGTTCTTAGCAACTTAAATGTTTCTAAAAGGAATGAATCAACAAACATGCTTTGCTTTACTTTAATGATTTTCTGAAAGGAAAGTATTAAAATTATACTAGAAAATATTATTAATTTCCAGAAATCTTCCAAACAGCTCTCTTCAGTAGGTCCTGTCTTTGATCCTTTTGGACTGAGGTAGAATACACATGTCTTAAATGAATCCCAAATAGAATCAGGATAAATTTTAAGTAGTGATCAATTTAACCTTTTTATTACGCCATCTATTCATACATTGAACATTTATTTCTTGTTAGTCTAAACCGAATTCCTCTTCTTTGTGAATTCTAATTCTAAAAGGTTCTGATTCTAATAATTATCTTTTAGCTATCTTGTAATTCTGCCTTCTAATAACTCCTTATCTTCTAATTTAAAAATGTATAAGTCTTGCCCTGGACAGGTGTTCAGTTGGCTGGAACATTGTCCTATCCACCAAAAGGTTGCGAATTCAATTCCTGGTCTGGGCACATACCCAGGTTGATACCTCGTTAAGGGAAAGCATATCTCTCTCTCTCTCTCTCTCTCTCTCTCTCTCTCTCTCTCTCTCTCTCTCTCTCTCTCTCTCAAATAAATAAATAAGAACATAATCTTAGGTGAGGATTTAAAAAAAAGTCTTTCCAATCTTGAAAAAACACAGTTTCTCCTAAATTCTGTTTCTTGTCATTACCAAAATGTATAAATGGAAAGTGAGCACCTACTTACTTTCTTCACCTGCTCCCCATCATGTGTTTTCTATGCTCCCCCACTTTTAATATGCCATCCATGTCTTCTTTATTATGGAGAAGGAAGAGTGCACAAGGATGTACAACCAATGGAGAATAGGTGCAGTTATTCTAATTACTCTCTGATAGAGGAGAAGACCCTCCCTTCAGGAGAATCTTGGGCAGGGTTCTAGCTCCTTCCCCGATTCTCTAAATCATAGTGAATGTCCTCCATATTTTCACAGCACTCCTCTTTATTGTGGAGTTCAACACAATTCTTCACATGATTGTTTGGTCTGAATCATTGCAAGTCAGGACTGTGATTTAGTCCTACAGAGTCCAAAATATTTACTACATTTAGAAGTGGGGCAATTGTGGGGTATTTGTGCAAAATCTGAAAGATAGCCTAGAAGAAGAAAAGCACAGTAGTAGAGAAAACTTAAGAGTTCTTTACTTTTTACAATTCAGTACTGCAAAAATAACTGACAAAGATTTGTTAAGTTGTTACTCTATGCCAAGGGATACAAAATCAGATACCAGACTACGTCAGGAAGGTTTAAACCTCTAAGGTCATAAGATGAGTTAGCAAATCAGGGTGTGTGGCAGGTAGAAGGACCACAGTGGAGGCCAGCCAAGAGTGCCAGGGAGCCGAGGGGAGTGATTGTATATCAGACACAGGGTAAAAGTAGGAAGTAGGTACAGTAGAACTATTAGAAAAAAGACTTTCAGAAAAAGGGCACAAACTGAGGTCTGAAGGTTAAGTAGGAATTAGCTAGTCCACAGCATTAAATATCAAATATTTTTTGCAGTGTAGAATTTTTTCATTAATAATTTCCAAACATATTAAAACACCTTCATATAACTTCTTAATGATAATTAAGTAGGAAGAAAAGCAAAGAAGAATGTGAACTAAGTTATGCATAGGGGAACAAACTAAGTGAATTCAAACAGTAATTTTCAGATTTCATACAGATGTATGACGTGTAACTTTTATTCAGCTCTCTGTTTTCTCACTTACTTTTCACAAGCTCTTGCTAGTAATCTTCCACTGTGTATGGCTGCGTAATCTATGCCCTGTACTACACTGTTTAATTAGGGAACAAATAAAGGATAAAATCTACCTCATTGCCAGAAAAAGCTGCACTTTTTGTAATCCATCCTCCAAAAGAGGGTGTCTTTTTTTATTTGCATGAGGAGCCATATGTGCTGCACGTAGCTATGACATGTGTCTTATTTATTTTTTTTTTACCTGCTCCATGTCTTGCTTTATTGCTTTTTTTCCCCCCTTCTTGACTTCCCTCCCAAGAAAATCCTATCTCCTTTATGAATAAAGATATGTAACTGGGATTAAATCTTCAGAAGAGGAAAAATATGCTGTGGGGTATGGATATTATATGTGTGCATATTAATATGAAAGACCTCACAGCCAAGGTAACAATGAATGCAGTGATAGTAAGTCAAAGTTCAGAATAATCTTCAAATAAATTCAAAAATTTCTGAAAGAAAAAAATTCCTTTTTAAGTGAATAAGTGTGCTAGTAGATTCCCCTCTCATTATATTTACTAGTAGATACAAACTTTGGTTAATCTTGTCTTTTCCACAATGCAGCTAAATTTAACCAGATAGATTTTTCTCCCGTAGAAGCTTACAACTTTTAATATTTTTTATTAAATGTTATTTAGTATTATCTTTCAGATGAAGTGGCATCAGGTCTAAGTGCCACGAGAGAGACTATATGAGGAAGCTAATAAGGTGGCTGTTAAATGACCAGTTTTATCTATTTTTCTTGGTGTGTGCAATTTTTTAAATTGTTTTCCAAAAAAGTCAGCATTTTATGAAGTACTTCAGATTATGCTACTCACAATACAAAATATCAGACTAGTCAAAACCGGTTTGGCTCAGTGGGTAGAGTGTCGGCCTGTGGACTGAAGGGTCCCAGGTTCAATTCCGGTCAAGGGCAAGTACCCTGGTTGCGGACACATCCCCGGTTTGGGGGTGTGCAAGAGGCAGCTGATCAATGTTTCTCTCTCATCAATGTTTCTAACTCTTTATCCCTATCTCTTCCTCTCTGTAAAAAATCAATAAAATATATTAAAACTATATATATGTTAGACTATGTCCACATCGCTAGTCAATTATTAAGAGCGAGAAGCCCGATGCATGAATTCGTGCACTGGTGGGATCCCTCAGCCTGGCCAATACCCTTTCCCAATCCAGGACCCATCAGGGGATGTCGGACTGCTGGTTCCGGCCCCAGGGTTTGGGACAAAACCAGCAGACCAACATCCACCAAGGAATGTAGTAGTCCATGAAGCAGCAGGTGGCCAGGGAGGAGCCTGGCCCAAAGCCACATCACTCCGGCTCATCCCAGCCCCTCTACACCTGCTGCTTGGTGGTGCTGCCATGGAGGTGGAAGAGGCTTGAGCCACCGCAGTTGTGCTTGCCAGCCACGAGCCTGGTGTCTGGTGCCCTTTGGTCAGCTGAACTGCACTCCCACTGTGGGAGAGCACTGACCACCAGGGGACAGATTCTGCATTAAGCATCTGCC